TCCAGCCGCCGGCTGGGCGCCGCCATCTTCGGCCTCTACTCAGAGCACGCGAGGGGAGAGGTCTGGAGGAGGGACCTCAGTCACACCAGGGCTCCGGCGAGCATGTCCGTTAACCCGCTCCGGACACCAACGCGGGCACTGGCAGAAAGGTTCCGCTTCGTAAGGGTTCCGACTCGGGATCCTTCTTCGTCACCAGCCGGGCGGCCATGAGTGCCACAGGGTGGGACACACTCCCGGAAGGGGAGGGGATTGCAAGGCCTGGGCACTCGTTCACACCAGCAAATTCCTACCCCCACGGGAGTAGCTTCCAAAACAACTTTCAAATTTATCACAGAGGAGAGTCTCTGGGTGCCCATGGAAACCGCACTGCGCCCTGCACCACGTGGGCCGCACGTCCGCGCCCTAACCCCCCCACCCCTCCTCGTGCACAAGGAGGCTGCACTGCCCCCAGCGCTCTCAGTCTCTGCAGGCCCTGTCTAGGCTCTCGCTGCGCTGCCCTTGCCAATGTCACACCTGCCTAGCTACCTCCCAGCATGCTTGATGCTGTCGCACCAGTAGATGGCAATGCTATGGAAGGAGAGAGTCCGAGAAAGGCCCCAAAAGGAGGCTGTTCAAACTTACAGACATAGTGCTATTGGCCAGTCACCTAGCACAAGGTTTTACTTATTTAATTTTGAAAATGGTAGGCGGTTCTTTTTCTCTATAGGTAAAGAGAAACCCAGGGAATCACTGATGGCTTGTTCCCCCAAATAAGTCCTGTGTCTGTAGGTGACCACCCCTCTGCCACCTCCTTTCCTCTCTGGTCTACTCTCTCTCCCTTCATAGGATGACTTGCTTTTGAGAGTGAAACTGGACACCCAGCAGAGAGAGTTAAAAGGGGAGGATTTGATGAAAGATTGGAAGTGTAGCTGGGAGCGTTTTGACAGCTCAATCACATCCTCTCTCCCCCTATCCATCACCCTTCCACCTATGCTCTCATGCCTTAACTCAGTCTCTTACACATCCATTACATCCCCTAATATTTCAAGCTCACCTTCCCCTATGTCTTCTACTGTCACTCATCTCTGATCTTCCTCCTTTCGATAGATACCCATTAGATACCCATTCCCATTATTAGCAAAAAGAACAGGATTACTTGTGGCACCTTAGAGACTAACAAATTTATTAGAGCATAA